AGGTATGAGAGATGGGTTGAACTCGATGAGGGCTCGGAAGGATATAAGCTAATTGCATTTTGGGCTGGAAGGCGAGGATGTCCTGGGGCTGGGCTAGCGAACCGGTTAGTTGGATTGGCACTTGGAAGGTTAATTCAGTCATTTGAGTGGGAGAGGATTGGTGAAGAGAATTTGGACATGGGTGAATGCTTGGGCTTTACCATGCGAAGGGTCAAGCCCTTGGAGGCTATTTTCAAACCACGACCCATCATGATAGCATCAATGTAACAGAGGATTTGAATTATTTGAGTACCACATTAAACCCCTTTTTTTCCGTTATATTTTATAAAGCGATATTCTAATTTACTCTAATGTATAGGGTGGTGGATCGAATTCAGGTGCAAAAAGGGTAGGCCGACACATTGCCTTGATCAACTGGCCTAATGCAGGTTTGCAACTGGCCTAATAATTTATTTAGAGTTGTTTAAGGTTTAAAATGCCTCAATCAAAGAAGGTTTAATTTTTGGGACAATACCCACTACTATCTCTATAGTGATAACAATCAAATTTAAGGGTGTGAAGCTATCAATGGAAGCTTTGGCCCAAAAATAAAAAGATTATCAATAGAAGCTATGACTGTGGAAATAAAGTGGCCCAATTTGAATTGAATGGGCCGAATCTAAAAGCAAGAGCCTAACCTAACGAACCAGCAACCCTTCTAATTAATTACAGAGGCCTAAAGGAGGGAAAATAATTAATTAAAATAAATAAAGATGAAAAAGGTAAACCGTCAAACATTTCATTTCATCATCAGCGCTCACTTCTAAGGTAACCCATCCTTTTAACTTTATTTTTTACCTATAAATTGCCCACTCTCACCATGGATTTTTCTCTCACATTTGAATTCCACCAACAAATTTATATAATTTCTTTTCATTTTTCATATAATTTATCTTTTTTAAATTAGGAAGTGCGTCTTTCCACCTCCACCACAGTCCTCATCAACAAAAATGTCGGACTCAGAGAGCACGGTCGCACCAAACCAGAGCTCAGCCATGGATGCCGAACCCCAAAACCAGCAGCCAGAAGACGCACCAGCTCATAAGCCACAGAAGCCCAGCCACGCCACCTCCTTCAGCATATGGCCGCCGACTCAGCGCACCCGCGACGCCGTGGTGAATCGCCTCATCGAGACTCTCTCCACGCCCTCCCCTCTCTCCAAGCGCTACGGCACCTTGTCCGCTGACGAGGCCTCCGCCGCCGCCCGTCTCATCGAGGATGACGCCTTCGCCGCCGCCGGTGGCTCCGCGGCGTCCGAGGAGGATGGGATTCAGATCCTGCAGGTCTACTCCAAGGAGATCAGCAAGCGTATGCTCGACACCGTCAAGTCCAGGACAGCCTCTGCTTCCGCTGCTCAAAACGGTGCGTCGGAGTCCGAGACCGCGAGCTCTGTTGAGGACCCCACCGCTGCTCCCCTCAGTGAGGATATCAAGACCGAACCCTAGTGATCTCCTTGTGTGTTTTAGGGCATTTTTAGCTTCAAATTTAGGGCTTCCATTTCGAGATCTATTTCGTATTAGTTATGGATTTCTTGTGATGCCCATATACTATTATGACTTGCTAAATATTTATATGCTTAGGTATTATCGCAATGCGCTTCTGTTTTCTGTGGTTTATATCATGTGGGTTTCTGTTGAGTATTGATCTACTGGTTTTTGATCTGCTTTGTTCGGAGATGTTTGTGCTGAAAATGTTTATAATGAAGTGGATGCATTTTGAATTTGGAAAACATTAAAATCTTTCCTTTTGCATACTCTTCATGTTTTATTGATTTTTTTTTCTTTCTTCTAGCTGGTTTGTGTTTCATTTCAGCTTCAATACTAGCTGAATTCCAATGTCAATTGAATATTCGCTTAAATTTCTTGTGCATAATGTTGCTTCTTGGAGCTTGACATTGCCCTTTAAATAGTGAGGGGTGTTTCCTGCAGCTGGTTTTTCATCACACCATGTCCCTTTGGCCTGGTACCTTGTGTGCTCCTACAATGTGAAGGATTTAATATTTCCCAAAGTTCCTTTTTCTTGTCAAATTTAAGCTTTCGGTGAAAGTGAGATTGGCTGATGTTGCTCAGAGCTCTGTTGTAGTTCAAGCATGTTAAAACCTAAAGGTAGTCTGCTTTCCATCTATGATGATATGCATATCTACTTTTTCTTGTTTTCACCTTATGTTGCATCAGTAGTGGATAATCATGAAAATAAAGGTGACTTACTTTTGGTGTAAGCATTATATAGTTCTTGGTATTCTACAGCATAAATTCTACTCCTTGAGGTAGACTATGATGCGATTTAGAGTATTTTTGTTGTAGAATGGTTGAGTGTAGGGAAGATTAGTGTCTGCTGCTCCACAACTATGCACAAGTTCTATTCACTCGCACCTTGGACAAATTCGTCGGTTTTAGGTTGATGTTTATAGCAGATGTCTCCTTTGTCATTAAGCAGTTTTTACCTCTCTTTCTCTCTGTAGCTGTTGTGGCACTAGCGAGTTTGAAGTCCATGGTTTTTGGTGATATGAACATAATCAGAATCTTGCTTTTGGATTGTTGTTAGATTATTATGAAGAAGTGATGAAATATAAATGATTTCTTAGTGTATGTTATCTTTGGACCGAGCTCCAGTTTGTCCAGCAAACTATTATCATGCTTAGTTTTCTCTTTTAGCTGGAAGTAGTTGTGCGTTTTATGCTAGTTTTCATTTTTCTTGGTAGTACAGTGGTTGTGGTTGTGCATGCTATCATTCTGCGTTTTTGGCGTTTTTGGCATGTGGGGAGATTAAGACGCTCCTAATGATGTGTTTAGTGGTTGTCCCCTCCCTAATTCATCAATCTCTGTTGTCTGCTTCACCAGGTAGAAACAAATACATTCTCTGTAGACGAATTATAGAAACAGAAACATTGGTTTTTTACTTTTGGGGGCCCTTAAACTGGGCCTGCCCTTGGAATTTATTGAAGAGCAGCTGGTGACTTGGAATCGTTTGCCTTTATCACGTGCTTTAGGGCTATAGATTGTGGGGGCCCCCTCATGTTTTGGGTTCAGGTCAGGAAGTTAAGGCTATGTTTGGTAGGTCTTACTGAAGTGGACTGGTTTAAATAGCACTTGAAGCCCATTTTTGGTAAGAGAGGGGACTAACTTAGTGAGCTTGAAACGTGGTTAGCAAAATAGTGCCGTCGCTAAACTGAACAAGCGAGTCCGACACACACTGGCCTAGCTTCTCTTCCCTGACGCCATTTATCACTTTTTCTCTTCCTGCAACTTCTCTACCTCAACAAAGTTGAGGTTGAAAAACTGAAGCTCCAAGATATGTATTTTCTTTATTGAAAAAACTAAAGCTCCAAGATCTGATTGGACCCAACACTAAAAGAAAATAACGTATTTTTGGAATTTATTCCGACCCAACTCTGGAAACCCATCTCATCCGACCCATGGTCGTCCACTGCACTGCCCCCAACCCCAACAACATCAATGGCTCCCTCTCAATTTTCTACCCCTCTCTGCAAATTCAAAAACCCAAATTTTCTTTTTCATATGTAGAAGAAAGGTCCCATGGATGTTAAATCATTCTCCAGAAACCTCTCTTTGAATGTTTATTAAAAAAAAAACCCCCAGATATGAATTTAGTTGTTGAAGAAAGACGGGAAAGAGAGAAAAATAGAGAGAGGAGGGGGGGCGCTTGGTGGGGAGAGAGAAGACGGAATGGTGGGTGGGGTTTGAGATATTTGTTTTGGTTTATAAATATTATTTTTAAAAATATTAAAAATCAGCTTCCTTAAAAAATATAAGAATTTTATTTGATTTCTTTTTATTATTGTTTTAAATCTTCGAATTGGGTTTCTTTGCAGTATTTATTTATTTTTTAAGTTAAAATTCCTAATTAAATTTAAATATTACAAGAATTAATTTTTAGTCCGACATAGCACTAAACATAAGTCTTCATTATTTTTACAATTCAGCTTCTTAGTCCGACGCAACACTAAACGTAAATCAGTAATTAATCTAGCTTAGGCCAATCCTAGCTAATCCAAGACAACCCCAGAATTTAGTCCAATTCATGACAGTTCGCAATACCAAACGACCCCTAATTGACTAATTTAGTTTCTTCTAGTTGTTGCTAGTATGTATGCTTTGAGTATCTGTTTTAAAGAATTTATGAAGGATTCATATGTGTGCTTAAACTATACTGTATCTATCTTGTTATAATTTGTAATAATTATCTCTGATATATATATATACTTTATTTTTTTGGGTGCATGAAAATGTGGGGAAAATATTTGTTTTCATTATAATCTCAAGAAATAAGAAAAAACAAATCTTAATAAGGAGACAGAGTTGTTCATCGAATTAGAAATTAAATGAAACTAAAAAACATTATTGATTTATTTCATTAAAATTAAATTAAATGAACTTAATTATTGATGAAAAATCATTCCATCAAATATAGTTCGTTATTAATAACACCTGTCACGTCTCTATTCCCCGCTGGATCCGCAACAGTTCAAATATTTTTTGGGTTGGGCCTTCCTTTAGTTTTTTGGGTGGGGTGGACCCTTGTGGATAAGATCTTGCTAAGCGGCCCGGTACGCTGGCTGGTGTAAAAAATGAAATTGAAAATGAGCGTCAAACTTGGAACGCTTGTCGTTTATCTCGCTCGTAGGCAGCCGCAGGACCGTGTGGGGTGGTTGGCGGTGTTACATTGATATATTTTCCACCGTGTCTTTGATTCTTTCAGCAATTTTTGGGAGAGATAGGATTTGTTGGTGGCTTCTTGAAAATTCAACTTTGGTGACTTTAAAAATTTGTTCTCAAAAAATAAAATATAAATTGTATGACTTTGATTAATAATATATAAAATGAACCCGGGGTCTATGCCAAATTTTTATTGAAGTTGCTTTTTTAAAAATTAAGCGCTGCCAAACGCCACCTTAGTGTCTTTTGAGGCTAATTGAATTTTTTTCTATTCGCACCAATTAAAAACCAAGAACATTAGCAATTGGGAAATATTAATTTTTATTCTTTAGCATCAACCAACTAAGCCTGAAAAATTACATGTACGTATGAAAATCCTTAGGCGGATCAAAAACAATATCCAATGTGTCACATCTTTGTGCATCATGAACATGGAAAATAATTGAACAAGAACAAAAGAATGAGAGAGAGAGAGAGAGAGAGAGAGAGAGGCTGCAATTAGGCTAATGGCCAGGGCCTTTTTTGCTAGGTCCAGAGGCCAATCTAAACGCCAAGCTCCTCACCGAAGGACGACGAGCAGTGCTCGAGTTGTAGTTAGAAGAAACAGCAAAGCTAGCCATGCCTACCTCCTCAGCCCCATCAACTCCTTTGCATCCCCCATCACTGCCGCTGTCGCTTGTTGCTGATCGAAGGGCTCTGCAATCAACTTGACCAAACTCTGTTGACACAATCAGCAGCACCATCAAACCCATCACAAGCCACACGCAACAGGTTGATGCTGTTGAGCTCTTCTTCATTCTCATTGCCATCTTTACTTCACAGCTAGCACACAAATCTTTCTCTTGAGAGTTTTCTGATTGGTTTTTTTTTTTTCTGTGTTTGGAAAACAAGGCCAACCCACTTGTATAAATAGCAAAGATTTGAGCTGCTGATGACGGTGTGGCTTAGCTATTAATGTAGTGGGGTCAATCACAAGATGTTTGACTCTCCCTTTTTTATATATATTTTATTTGATTTCCGTTATAGTTTACTTGTACAATGAAGTGGGGAGCAAGGTGAGACGACTGGGGGAAGGACGAAGGAGGGAGGTGTGCTTTTACTTTGAAATTGTTTCGTGCTGTTGGAATTTGACTTTAATTACCAAACCCAAATACGTCTCAAGTCACCAAGAGAGGATGGAGAGAAAAGGCAAGAAAAAAGTTTTTTCTGTCTGCAAAATCTGAACTGCTGTCATGAGCATCACCTTTTTGCATGGAAACACACCGTGTGTGATCCAAAACGCGTGCGTCTTGTTCCATCTGTAACGCGGCACTCTCTTTATTCTATATATATATATATTTTTTCTTTCATGGAGGAAAAGAAGAAATGAGTGACAGCCAATTTTTAGAGGGACAATTAAAGGCAAGTGTTTTTGTAGACATGGCAAACAAAAAAACAGATTTGGTTTGTTGAACCGTCTCTCTCTCTCAAGTACAGGACGGTGGAGGTGAGAAGAGGGACCATAGATTTTCAAGATAAGGGGAGGTGCTTAAATTAGTCCAAAGGGATATAGCCAATTTCAACTTTTCGAAGGCTGTTCAAAGGGAGGGAGGAGGCATTAGGGATGTGCAAGAATTTCAACGATCCTTTTTTTCTTCTTTTCAAGATCACATGGTCTTTTGAGTGTGTGGAAGACCACATGGGCATTTTCTTGATTTGCTTTGCTCCTATTTTACAGGTGAGTAAGAATGAGGAGTTGGTATGAAACCGTGACCCCATTTTTTCTAGCTTTCGGCATGCATATATAGCAAGCAAGTTGGACATTTTGATTTCCCAACCGATGCCACTAGACATGTGCTTAGGTGTCACTAGACATGTTTGGTGGCGATCTAGTATCAAAATTTGGTAATATAACCATGACAAATTTAGCAATATCCTACTCGTGACTTGTGAGTCATGAGATTTGATTATGGTGGACTTTTAAGTTATAAAATATAGGGAAATAGTCACTTTGGTCCCTGCAATTTTTATTTTGTCAATTTAACCCCTGTAGTTTGATTCTATCACAACACATCCAAATTTTCATCCAATTCCATACAAAATACCTCCATACGTAAGAGACACGTGTTTATACCGTCAATAAATTGGATGGAAATTTGGACATATACTTAAATTGCAATAAAATCAAACTACACAGGTCAAATTGCCAAAATTAAAACTACATGGACTAAAGTAGAAATTTCGTCAAACTACAACATATTTTGCCTAAAATATATTTTTGCTTGCAAGTGAGTGTGAATGGATTGTGTTGTGTATCATATGTCTCATAAAACAATGACTTTGTAGAGGTCTCATAGGAATAAATATACGTATATATAGATTACAAATGATAGATAGTATTAAAATGATCAACATGTTAAATATGAGGCTCGTGAACTTTGATCCTCAATTAATGGTCCAGACTCCAAACATCCAATATATGATATATGTCAAGCAAGGACGGCGACCGCAATTGAGGACCATCATCCGGCAACAGCCGCCAACAATGGCATTTGCTTGCGAAGTTTGACATCGATTATTTCATGGTGTGTGCTGCTGCTGCTGCTGCTGCCGCCGCCGCCTCCTATATATCATATATTCACGGGTTCAGATACAATACACTTATCAACTGAGATTTTCCGCCAAAGCATCTGAATTAAAACAAAGTTTATGAAATCTTACTCTTATAGATTTCTTTCTGACAGATATATATATATTCCTTATTGGTTTTATATTGTGAACCAAGAATGTTTACATGCTATATAAAATATAGGGAGAAAACCAAACATATGATTATGAAACCTTAATTAGTTTAGTCTTAGGACAAAAATTGGTGAGATTCTTTATTAAGTACTACAAGCAATAATATGATAACCACTGATTAGTTGGGTAATTATTAATTTCGCATTCAGTTTAGGTTATATATATATAGTTTTTTTCCACTCTGCAAGTCTGTGACCAAAACTAATTATAAGAGACTTGCACCAACCCAAAAAGAAAAAGAAAAGAACTTGGGAAGTAATCAACTCAATGGCTTTCATTTGGTTCTACAAACCTTCAAAACTTAAATTTGGGTTTGTTATTAGATTGGGTTGGAGGGAGAGAATGATATTATACAATAAAAAAATAGATCATGTTCCACAAGAGTCCAAGAGTGTATATCTATTTAATTTTCCAATTCCCATAAAATAGGTTGTGCATGTCCCTTTGTTACATCTCCTATATATACTTGGACAATGTGCTGCAGCTCATTCACAAGCACCAAAAACATCAAACCAAACTAAAAATGAAGAAGCACCATGGCTTCGTCAAGGTCTTTGCAATGAACTCCATCTCTGCAGTCATCTTTCTCCTCCTCATCCTCTCATCTGCTGTGGACGTTGAAGGCTCCAGGCCTCTTGTGCATAAGCTCTCTTCTAATTCGAATTCAATCAGCAAGTTTCAGATTGTTCAGGCATATTCTGGTCCCAGTAGAAGAGGGGTTGGCCATGCTCTTATGCATCTTAATCTTTCTCCTGCTCCGTTCAAGATATCTAAAGCATATTCTGGTCCTGATAAAGGTGGGGATGGCCACTAAATCAGATTCATCACCATGTTCATCTTCTTTCTCCAAGCAGCCCAACATGCCTGTTCTTATAATCCTATCAGTCGTTTTGTGCTTTTCTATATATTATTATTATTTTTCCTATTGTTTTGCTTAGAGACATATATCTCGCAGTTGTTTGTGCAGAAGTGCATTGTTTACTGAAGCGAGATACACACAGATACCATAATTAATTTAGTTTTTTTTTCTTTTCCCAAAGTTAAGAGGTGGTGGGATTTTCTCACACGTTATCAATGTTAAGTTGTCAAGATTCAAATCTAAGACAACTTATTTGCAAGTCAATTTTCTTTTCCACCGAACTAAGCATGTTTCCAATTAATTTAGTTTATATGTATATGCTGTTGGGATGGCAAACATTATGTCATGTAGTGCATGGTCCATGTTCAAATTAAATTAAAGTTTCGCTCTCAAGTTTTGAGGGGGACAGGAGTGGTGGTTGTATCCGGGAAACAAGAAATGTGATGGGCAAAGTAGGTTGTAATTGTTGGAAATTAAGCAAACAAACAAAAACAGAGTTGGAAATACGAAATTCACCACTTCAGTTTATTTTAGTATAAAAATACTCCAAACGTTGATCATATTTTGCAACTTAGCGGGTTATGAAGAGCCTTTTTTTTTTTTTTTTGGATAGGAATTATGAAGAGCCAATGTTTCCTTGGTTTTCTTAATAATTTTCAAATACTAACACACACACGCATATAATATTATATTATACAATAATGTATATTAATTATTGTAATTTTGACAAGTTTACAATTTGAAGGACTTGTCGCAGCTTATAATGGTCAACCACTTACCCAAATTTTAAGCATTTGGGTTGGGTAATGTAGCAAACCCAAATTTGGGCTGGACTTGAAGTAAACGAATAGGACGTGTGCTGTATTTAATGAAATTGAGTTGGGCTTGAAGTTTTACCCGTTGTGTGGTCAGCTATGACCAATGAGGCTGTTCACTATTGTGTCAGTACAGCTGCCGGAAAATAATCATTAATCAAAAATTTATTGAAGATGGTAAAACAATAATATGACCAAACACTTGAACTTAAGTGCTTGGTTTCGTTTAATACAGATATGGGCTTAGCGAAGTTGACTAGAAAAGAAGTAATTCCTACTTCGAATCCCCCTGTATGTAATTTAGATAAAATTAAAATAAAATATCGCTTAATTATTGATATATATATCTATATTTATTGACTTTTTAATTTCGTTGAAACATTTTAGGCCAATTGTGGAAAAGTTTAATTATTTTAGTGATGGAAGATAATCAACTTACATTTACTAATAAATTAAATTTGATAGAGACCAAAATTAAATTTAAGAATAATAATAAGAGAAGGAAACCGGATATTTATCCGGTTGACCTGAGGAAGAAAGTCGGGTGGTGCCAAAAACGTCAATTTCATTTGGCGATTGGCAACAAAATATTGCTCGGAATCTTACATACAAAACAACAAAATGGTTTGGATTTGGATTTGGATTACGATGGATAGCTTCAAAAAGATGAAGAAGAGAACGTGGTTTTAGTGCCAACCACTGAAGTTTGTTTAACCACTTCTTCCCCCTCCATTTTTTTCCATTTGTTGTTTTCCCTGCCTTTTCCGCAAACCAAAAGCTCTTTTCGCTCATTCGACCAAGCTAAATGACCACTCAATAAAACAAAACAAAACAAAATAAAACAAAACAAAATAAAAATATCATGGTGTTATTGTCACATACGGTTCAATTATAACGTCATTAGTAAGTATTCGGTGTGACAATTATAACGTCATGGTGTTATCAATTTAGTCGTATTATAACATATTTATTTATATCTTAATACTCTATTATAAGTTAATCACATATTAACCTAATTATCTACCTACTTTTAATGGTAAATTATTAACATCACATGAGGTGTGACACACTAACATTTTTCCAGACTGAGAAAGTAAAAAAGCAAAGATGCCATCTACTAATCAGCCATTGATGTAAGATTAAGAAGTAACCACCGAAATATATAATATTATTTACACAGTTGAAACAAATAATTTATGGTTTGATAAAAAAAGAGAGGATATTCTATCGTTGTTAGCGCATGAAACAAATTAAGCAGGTAAAACAGAAGGAAAAGGGTAAGAAGCGCAAGTGTGCAGCAGCAGCAGCAGAGAGCAGGCAGAGGATATATTCGTCAAACTCAACACTGAGACACAAACCAAACCGCATTCATTTCAGAAATTGTCGTCTTCGAAAACGCACCAAAAACAGGTCCCCACCACTCCCCATAACCCCTCCTCCTCCTTTCTATAACCACCCCCACCCCCACCTCTCTCCCTGCTTATTATTACCAGTTATTTCCACATCCCAGATTATAGAATTTGGGCTTCTCAATTCTTAACTGCCCTCAAATCCTCTCCAAATTACTCTGAACTGAACCACCCAAAAGCCGGAACGCAGAGTAGGATCTTCGATCCATTCTGTTCTAATCGATCGATGAAACGCGCATCATCGGGGGACGATTCGATGGCGGCGACCTCAGCTGATGTGAAGATGAAGAAGATTAAGGTTGAGGGTGAAGAAGAAGAGGTGGAGGTTGACCAGATTGACCAGGTTGTGGAAGGGGCTGGGTTTATGAATCTGGACGACAATCTGATATTCGAGGTGTTTAAGCACGTGGACGCTAGGACGCTGGGGATGGCGTCGTGCGTGAACAAGCAATGGCACAAGACGGCGCAGGACGAGCGGCTTTGGGAGCTCATCTGCACCAGGCACTGGGCCAACATCGGCTGCGGCAACCAGCAGCTGAGATCTGTGGTCCTCGCTCTCGGCGGCTTTCGTCGGCTTCACTCCCACTTTATCTGGCCTCTCAGCAAGCCCTCCTCCAGCTCTTCTTCTTCCTCATCGTCGTCGGCTTCGCCTTGGGCGACTCCGTTGAAGCCCATGCTCGGCTCGAAGCCTAGCGCTCGTTGGGGAAAAGACGAGGTGAATCTGTCACTCTCGCTTCTCTCGATTCGTTTTTACGAGAAGATGAATTACGCTAACAGAGGCAGATGATCAGAGATTCAGAAATTAAACTCGGAAATAAAATTATATATAAAATATCTATTATAATTTCCTAATTTCAGTTGGATTTTCAATTTTCCCTAATTTTTTGGGATTTATTTGTGTTTTTTCGTTATTGGATCTGTATTCTTGTGGACTTGTAAGCTTAAGCTTTTCTTGTGTAAATTAAGATGGAATTGCTCAAGTTGTGTACTATAATTTTATCAATTTTACAATTATAATTGGTTTGCTAATATTTATTTTCATGGATTTATTTGGAATGATTGAAAACCGTGTTAGGGGGTTTGTTGTGATTGGCGGTTCTAGCGATTCGTTTGGCGAATACGAACAAACAGAATAGAAGCAAAAATAAATGGCTGGTTCTGGTTGTGGCCTTTTGCTTTCTGGGCCTTTTGCCACGTTCTAATGGGGGTGTAAATAGCAAAGAGACAGAAGGATGAGTCTTTTTAGAGGTTAGATCCAAAGTTGAAAGAGTCCCTGGAGGAGGAGGAAGGACCAAATTGTCGTTTTTGTAGTCTTCATTTTCTTGGAGAATTGGATAGCTCTATATTATAAGTATAGCTCTGCCAGCCTGCCACATTCACCCCTTGACTTTAGTGTAAATTGCTTTTGGTTTCTTCTGCCCAGTTTACCATGTCTCCTCTTGGATGCCATTTCCATTTTCTTTCAACCATTCAAAGTTCAAACCAAATAGAAAATACTTAACTCATTACCATGTAAGGAATAGCTTCTATATTCCTGTTAATAATAGTGTGATATGCGTCACTTTCGCAAGAAGGAGAATTTCTTTCAGGAAACGAGGCAAACAGTATCCAATGACATTTCCAATTTGAAATAATTAAAACAAGAAACCGAGAAAAATGTTGGGTTCATTAGCAAAAAGGAATTTAATAAATGGGTGAGGGTTGGTTTTCATAGTTGTAGCTTCAAGTTAAGTTCAAGGGCACATGGATAAAGACCTAATATCAACTGTGAAAGTTCTGTTTGCAGAATAAAAGAACCTTGTACATACAGACTTGTATACTTCTATTCTACATGGACACTTTTTGCATAAAAACTTGTACAGTATGTATATATCTTCACTTCACCCGTGAAGGGTAATTTAGAAAGAATCTATGTAGTTTTTTATATTATATGCTTAGGTTTGGAACTTTGGACGGACGTCGTTGACAGTGAGCAAAAAGGCTGAAGCTTGCGACAAAGAAACAGAGTATGGGCAAGTAAGTTAGATATATTCTTGGTGAACTCACTGTTTAGTCTCTTGTGCCGTCCCCCCCCTCCCTCTGCTTAAAGCCCTTTCCTTCCCTTTTTTTTTCTTGGTCGGTTAACTTCCGTCACGAATTTTGGTCTATCAAATTAGTTTTGTCAGATTCTTTTCTTCCTTTTGTTTTCCTTGGCATTTGGTCTTCTGGTTGGCAAGACATTCCTATCCAATGAACTTACCCATTTGGACCAAGAATTTCTAGACCTTCATTTTCATTCCATGCTTATAATGACTTACTGACTGCTCTGAACCACCAATGTGCTAATTTCAAAAGAGAAGGCTTATGAAGACCTGCCACCAAACTCATGTGCCAACATTTCAACTCACATACTTTTTTCTAACTTCCCAGGTTTCCTTAGTTTCTAGTCCCCTCCGCAGAAACCTAAAATCCGTCCAATTTGTCACTGACCACTGTGTTTCACCAAAGAAGAAAAGCCACGAATTTGCCTCACAACATATAACTTTGGTCAGTCAAATTCATTTTTGTGATGATTTTGGGATGCTTTCAACTTATGGCATGAAAACTTGACCCGTAATTTTCTTCCAGTCTTATTGTAGAAAAGGCAGTGGGGGACTTTAGTTGATCAACGGGTCGGGCCAAACTAGAAATCAACCACTTAAGTGCGGCCTATTGGATGTTTGGTGACAAGAATTGGATTCGATTAAAAAACTCACTATATTTAAGGTATATTGAGGGAGGAAATGAAGAAATGTTATCCAAGTTGGAAGGTAGAAGAGGGATCACTCATGAAGAAAACTTTTCCCACGCAATCCTCTCCAAATGGTAGTATAACAACACCTTATAAGTTATCCTTTATAATCCTCAAAATGAAAAATACTTAACATCTACTTTCATTTCCTCTTTCAACATAGCATAAATTTGGTGAATTATCTACGCAACTACATTGGACTTAAATGTGAAAACCATCAATGTATTTCACTCATCAGGCTAATCTAGTACTTATACTACTAATTTAACTTTCCTTTAGAGAATATTAATTTGACTAATTTAGTTCACATTTTTGTATATGTTTCTTACTGTAAATGAAATTGACCATACTGACTAACGAATACCAACATAGGAAATAAACTGGTAAAACTAATAAACTCTAGTCATTACAACTCCCTGAGGAATATGATTGGAGTTGAAATTTTATAAACAATTTAGAAAATAACTTTGTAATGTTTTCAGTTAAAATTTAACTTAAAAATAAGAAGCATGATAAAACTAAATTCGCCATATGAGTAAAACCTGATAGACCTTTTTGACATTTACGCCTAAACATTATACAGTTATACTGGCTTGGGCCAGGCCACACAAGCTAGGTCCAGACTTGAAAACATCACAACTTATTTTGGACCCTCGACCCTTTACAGTGTTTTTTGATATTTTCAATCTTACGCAGGCAGTTACGCAGGCCACGTATCCACAACATGGGTGGGCGGATTGAAAAGGCAAAAGGGGTAATTCTCTAATATATTATATACATAGATTAATAATAATTAAGTAAATAGTAACAGCATTTTTTCTTGTTTGTCACACAAAATTAAATATTCAACACTTGCGTTCCTCCGAACTTAGACTACTTTACTGTATCTGAGTCCATCCATTACGTCCTCAACTGAATCCCATCAACCAACCCCTCGTGTTTGAACAAACCCATGCACTTTCCCACTCGTTTCTTCCCCCTGGCAGTCAAAAATATGAATCTCTCATTCCCACCTCCTTGCCAATACTATTTATACCTCACAAATCTCCACCATCTTACAAATCAACCCAAATCAGAAACACCAGAAGCCTACTCTGATCAAAGCATTCTTGATCAATTCACAATATATATTCATTCATCCAGACAGATGGCCATCAAAAGCTTCAAGCCAGCTCTCTGCTCCATCCTTGTTCTTCTCACTGTGATCTCTAGGGTTTTGGTCATATCAGAAGCTCGTCCTCTTAAGCTGGGGAGTTCATGGAGCTCCATAGACAAGGAGATGGAGAGTGTGTATGATGGGCTGTTCATTGACGCAATGAAGAACGAAGGCCCGAGCTCCGGAGGGAAGGGTCATGCCTTCACTGATTCTGAAACCCTTGGAGGGATCAAGCACTCTGTGTATGGTGCAATGAAGAATGAAGGCCCGAGCTCCGGTGGAAATGGTCATGCCTTCACTGATTCTGAAACCCTTGGTGGGATCAAGCACTCTGTGTATATTGGTGCAATGAAGAATGGAGGCCCGAGCTCCGGAGGAAAGGGTCATGCCTTCACTGATTCTGAAACTCTTGGAGGGATCAAGCATTCTTTGTATATTGATGCAATGAAGAAGGAAGGTCCGAGCTCCGGAGGAAATGGTCATGCCTTCACTGATTCTGAAACCCTTGGAGGGATCAAGCATTCTTTGTATATTGATGCAATGAAGCATGAAGGCCCGAGCCCCGGAGGAAATGGTCATGCCTTCACTGATTCTGAAACCCTTGGAGGGATCAAGCATTCTGGTCCAAGCCCTGGCGGCAGGGGAAACTAATAAAGTGCAGCAGTAGCCATTGCCACTTTATTCATTTTTGTAGTTGTTTAAAAGCATTTGGTCTAGTCTTAGTATAGAAGACTAGCTATAACCAGTTACAGAATTTAATTAAATTTAAATAAAATGTGTCCCGTATTTTAGAACAGCTATATATATGCAGCAATGATGTAATCGTACATTCATGATAATATAATAAAAGTGCGTTTTTCTTTTCTTTCATTCAAGGAGTAAAGTTTGCTGTGGTATTTTCAGATTGATTGTTTATGGAAACTTGATTCTTAGGAAGGAAATACATTATACATCCGAAGGTATCTAAGTGTAGGGCTGCTCTGTTTCATTCATGGTTTCAAAGCTTTTGATTCTTAGTATAAGGGTGAGGTGACCCTTACAAGAATTGTATTAGAGTACGTGTTAGAATGTGATGATAGAAATGATTAGGCCCAATCAGTATCCGTTGCTCATTTCTTCAGTCATTGCATATTTTTGGTAGGTTTCAAATTTTCCTTTCAAAATCTTGGCTTTAGCTTTAGAAGGGGAGTTAACATAGACTTTCCCTTTGTGTGAATCATATACCTAGGTTTGTGATTTAATGACTCAATTCGATGAACCGTTTCACCATGTTGTGATTCATGCTTATATAACTTTGGACCAATAACCACCTTCCTCGTGAGTCATGTTCATGATGAGATTTGGAATATGGTAAAACTTTTGGTTTTTTCTTTTTTGGTCGAACGTGTAATTTTTTGTTGGGTCCAGACTTTCAAACCCAAATCCAGTGTAAGCCCAAAATTAGAAAGCCCAAAGTTTACCGCGAAGTTATTACTTACGCTCCCGCCTTCCGGCCACATGGTTTTTTATTTATTTACCCGTTGTGGTATAAATCTTAGACACGACGTCGTTTTAAGTTTAACCGGAGCGCACGACCGATTAAGGACAAGCAAACAGTAAAACCCCACCCACCGGGGGTGCTCTCGTCCTCGTGCATCCGTAACTATAAATAAAGTAGATGCAAACTCTGATGAAGAAGAACCGCCATAACGAGACTAGTTCTCAAGCAAACAGCAATCGAACTTTCTGGATAGTTCATGTTAGTTAATGTTAATCAATTTACTAATTAATCATTAAGCAGAAGCAACAGAGCACCCAAAACCAAAATGAGAGGCTCCAAGACTGTCGTTAGCGATACTGACTCGTCCGCCACCCAGTCTGACAGCTCCGCCACCAAGACCGATTCTGACATGATCGACGGTGAAGACGAAGAAGTTTCCGCTCCTTCCCCCGATTCATGCCCCTTCTCCGAAGGCGAGAAGGTGCTCGCTTTTCATGAGACCCAAATTTACGAAGCCAAGGTACTCATTTTCACACACGCACTCTCCCTTCCACCCTCTGTCTCTGTCTCTGTCTCTGTCTCTCTATCGGCGATTGAATTCTATATGATTCTTAGGGTTTTATGTGCCTTAATGTAACATTAATTGCAATTTCTCGAATTTAATAGAGCGTTTTGGCTAATTGATCACCGATGAACATTTTCAGTAAATCTCACTGTGGTTTGCGTTTTGTTTGCAAGGTGACCAAAGTCGATTTCAAGATGAACGAATGGAGATTTTATGTTCATTACCTTGTAAGCATCAACTGCTTTCCTATGATTTTTAATTTTCTCTATCAAACATTTACTAAATGCCTATCATGATTATACCTGCCTTGTTTCATTTGTAAGATTTAATTTTTAATTTTCAATTTGCTTGGAAGTGGAATGCCATAGGATTTCCATTAATCTTCTTTCGGCATTTCCTCCATTTTGTGGTTACATTGCTTGGGTGATATAGTTGCTTGTTTTGTGGTTACATCTTGATTGTATACTCTTCTATCCTGCAGGGATGGAGCAAAAAGTGAGCCCGCCTTCCTGCTTAATTATGATTCCAGAACGTTTATGAGTTTTGATTTCACGTTCCTTGAACCAAGCTCTTGGATGTTGGAAGCATGGTCTACTTCAATTTTCGTCCTTGTTATTTTTTATTATCGTTTTCCATTTCGCTTTCACTTTAAGGGGTCTTTTCATCTCACTTATTGCACGGTATTGCATTTTCCTTTTTGTCTTTGAAAAATATGTTTATTAGACCATGACAGATGTTAGTATTAGATCATTGCATTGAGGGAGGTTGGGAGGTTCATCGAAGATGAAGACTTTGCTTAAGTTTCTCCCATTTATTCATGGGTTATTCATGCAGTTACAATCTCTTGAAACTTTTGATTTCATTTTATCTTTTTGACTTTTTCTCCCTTTTGCTGCCCTCAACAGTTGGGATGAGTGGGTACACTTGGATCGTCTGATGAAAAACACTGATGAGAATGTGAGGAAACAAGAGCAGCTCAATGCGAACCAGAGAACACACAAGAATGCAAAGCTACCACGCACGTCACAGACTAAACAAAAAGGTTATTATGGTTGGCTTTATCATCTTTAACTTTGACCTTTCTGTTTCCTGATTTTGAAAGCTATAGATTTATTCCTTCCATGCAAGTATGGAATGGATTACAATTTTTGTAATGTCTTAAAAACGAAAAGATAGATGTAGTGCAGAACTTGTATTTTTTCTTTCTTTATTCATTAGTTTTGAACGAAGAACAGAAATGTTTGGCCTAACAAAGCGGAAATTTTGGCATGTGACCTGAACCTTCCAATTTTTTTGGTGAGCTTTGAGGTTTGAGGACCGAAAGTGTTGCCCTTTGAAGAGGTGGAAAGAAAGAAGTGGTAGGAGTAAGTATAATGGTTATGAGAAACTGCAAAAGTAACAATGTGGTTAACAAATTTGTTCTCTGGAGAAAAGAAGTCTTAATAGGCCACTACCTCATGAAAAAGATTTAACAGCATGCTTTCTTCAGTCATGATCATAAATTGGTTATGGTTCTTGAATTAGGATGATAAGAGGTTGGGTTTTGAAAATAAAATAAAATAAAATAAAATAAAATTATATATATATATTGAGGAATCCCTCAAATAAAAGGACACCCTTTAGGGTACCCTACAAATATTTTTTCAACGATCCAAACCATCTATTTTTTAAGTCTACATTCATAGATCATCCTTGCAAAAATTTAGACAAATCAGAAACCGTTTCGATATCCAATTGTGTCCTACAAAATCAATGAACACGGTACTTCAAGAAAGTACTAAAATTTCAATAATTCAATTGAATGGTCAAATGATATCGGATTCAAGTGTTTTTTTGTAGAGATGATCTTTGAATTATGATTCATGAACACAATGAGTTCTTAAAAGAAGGATGGGCGGGTGGTGGATTTTTTTGTGCAAAGTAAGAAAAAGATGTGCATTTGTGCTGCATGTGACATGTAGGAATAAATTTACCCAATTTCAGCTAGAAATCAATGGAGTTAACTAAGATGAAAGCTCATGGTATGTTAGTTTTGTTCAATTTATAGAAACGACTGGTTGATGATTGTGAATTCATTACTCATCTGGGCAAGGTAGATGTGTTCCTTTATCATAATACTGAATCCATGAATGAATTGATTAAATAAAGTACAATGTAAATTACATGCTTGTGCTGATAATGGTACATCGTAAAAACTTGGAATATCATGTTCAGACCGCATTACAGAATGGTCAATGGCATTGTTTTAACTTTTATTATTTGTTTGGTTATGGTGATGTAGAGAGTAAATATTGCATATGGAATTCCTACTAGGATGGATGAATTGCTTTTGGAATATTTGGTCTACATGGCTTGAGCGTTTACAGTAGGACTAGAGATGTTCTGGCATATACTTGTCAAATGGTGGGTCTGGCATATCTGGGTTAGTCTTTGTGCACTCTAGTTGTCAGTATGTGCATATCACTTGTGAGTTTCTAATTTCGATGCATCCACTCATCGCATTTTTAATTTCCAAACAAACCTGAATTTATACCCTATATTCAGTTGTAATGAATTCCCAGTTAATGATATCCACATATTCTTGCAGCTTGTTAAACTTCCACGAACTCCTAACGTGGATGACATAATGAAGAAGTATCTAGATTACAGATCAAAGGACACTTTGTAAGTTTCTTTCCTTTCATCTCTTTGCATCCAATCTTCCTTTATTCTTTTCTCGGGTGCCGTTTTACAAAATACATCCATTTTGAATTTTTTTATTGAGAGTAAATTAACTTTTTATCCTCACATGAGTGAAGAGATAGAAGGGATTACAAATGTTATTTCTCATACATTCTACTGGCTGGTTATCCACTGGGTGAAAGTTGGGGTCTTAACTCCATTATTTGGACCTACAGAATTCATTACTTTCAACTTCTTTATTATCTAGAATCCAATTTGCCTATACGCACTGATTTTGGTTGATGGACTATTCTCAATGTGAATCTAGGAAGAAAACTCATTCAGTTGAAGAAATCCTGAAAGGACTGTGTTGTTACTTTGACAAAGCACTACCAGTAATGCTTCTGTACAAAAATGAACGTCAGCAGTATGAGAAAGCAATTGCACATGATGCCTCTCCATCATCTGTATATGGTGCTGAGCATCTGTTACGTCTATTCGGTAGGAACATTTAATGCATAGACAAGTCCATTATTTGTATTCATAATGGTGTATTTCTAAATAGAATTGTTTTAAAAAAAAGTGTTTTTCATCATTTTTGGTGTGATCTTGAATTTGTGGTTTCTCATGTTTATGTTCTACTAAATTACTGATGGAGATTACTTTTATGTTTAATAATTATGTTGAATTTGTAAATATCCCTTCCAATACATTAAAACCCTTGATTCCTTTCCTTCCTTAAGATGCATTTTTATATTGCCCTTGTGTAAATCATAAATTGTGTTTTTAAGTGATTATGTACTTGGTATTTGAAAGAAAAAAAAAATTATCCATGGTGGATTACCTGTGAAAATTGAATTTTCATTGCGATATACTTATCTGTAGTGCAGCAGAACATTATGCTGGTGCTTTGGATACTTGGGCATGTGGTGGATGACATTGCAACAGTGCATGTGAATGCCAAATGTTTTCTGAAATTCATCATGCTGAATATTTTTTGGTTGCTTACTGCAGTTTTTGCAGTTTAAGCTTTTGTTATATTGAGTGCTAGTCATCATAAAGTTCGAACTTGAGATGTTATTTTTCTGGCATTTGCAGTTAAGCTCCCTGAGTTATTGTTGAATGCTAACATTGAAGAGGAGACACTGAAGGATTTGCAGCAAAAATTGGTCGACTTCCTCAAGTACTGTCTTCTACTTGCTCCCCTAAATAGATATTCAATTGTATATTTTCCAACAAGTACTTGACTTTCTTATTTTTCGATGTCATTTTTACTTTTGCTGATTGATCATACATGCTATCATGAAGGTTCCTACAGAAGAATCAGAATGCATTTTTCCTCTCTACCTATCATGTACCAGATGATGTTGAAGCGAGCACCAACAAACCAGATGTCTAAGCGGGGGCATACTAGCAACAATTTGTACATAATACCATATAACTACAGCTGTTGTGCTGTGTCTCAGCGCCGTTTTCAACTTCTGCGCTCCAAAAGCTGTTGAAGCCTAATATGCTAGTGTTGCACGTATTACAATCCTCTATGTTCATGTAATTGGTATGTCAAAACTTTAGAATATGTAACTTATGTAGTTAGAACATGCCTAATGCCTTGTAAAATTCTACTGGACACGGAATGTATCCTTTGTGCAATGATAGTTTTGCCTGCCTGTGGGCTGCGACGCTTTACTGATTTGTTCTCGATAAATTTTGGAACTGTATTGATCCATTTGGGTACGCAGATTTTTCTTTTTTTTGGGTTACATTGGAGGAAACCGAACCAGAACATATCGTACCCTCCCTTACCATTTGGTAGGTTTTAATTTCCTAGCAGTCCTACGATAATTACGGGAGGAAAATTGTTGACAAGCTTGATTTGTCTTCAGTATCGGGTGGATTGATTTAACTTTATCTATTAAATAATGGAGGCGTATTTAGTGCGGCAGTTGGATTCTTCCAATTTTCCTCAGCGTTGGATCTCCTTCAACCCAATCGAAGACATTCAAAACCTTGTCGGGGCC